GATGGTGACAGAGACTGCAAAATAAGTCCTTAGCGGAAAAAAAAACTTTTCTTTTCATATTTCAAACTACATCTGACAAAATCATTATTAAACTGGAAAGTGACTTTCTAAATCGATCTCTCTCTTTTGTATGCTGTAGTGCTGTATTTATATCACAGTAATCTGGTAGAGTTTGTTTTGACTTTTTCGGTGTTAATTATTGTGATATCCCGATTGCAACAGAGAAATACTGGAAAATCTCTGTAGACTGATGGTATTTCATGCAGTTCAGCCTTATAATCTTAAAATGTCAGTAAAATCACCTGTTTTGTCATTAATTTAGACATTACACTAGAGAATCATTCAAAATACTAGCTCTACAGTGACGTGTTTTTAAGCAACGTTTCTGCTGTTCTGACATCAGCTGCACATGTGAATGAATGGCGGAAGTTATTCCTCATACAAAATAATTTCTGAGACTCTTCATGTTTGATTTTCTTTTTTATATTCACAATTATACCACCAAACTGTTGTATAAACACAATATCAAACTTGAGCAGTGCGATATGGCTGTAAATCATCACTGGTGGGGCAGTAATAATAATAATAATAATAATAATAATAATAATAATAATAATAACAATAATAAATAAATATATAACGAATATAGCCTATAATAATAATAATAATAAAATATATAGAACAATAAAACATTCACTTTTCTTGTTACACCATAGAAAATAAACCGATTTAAAGTAACATGAAGGCAAATAAACAATGATGAAATTTTTTATTTGGACTAAACCATTTCTTTAATGTTGTGCAATAACAACGCAAAAGCAACTCACAAGGATTTTCTCGGCGTTGAGTGAGAAGACTGACTCGCAGGGCGGGCTGCTTCCCTCCTCACAGTCCGGATCCTCCAGCTGCAGGATTGAGGACTCTGAGGAACCAACGGGACACACAAAATCACCAACCAACCACAACCACATGACTGGTTTTCGAAAAAAATACTTCATCTTCTAATGTAGACCGCTAGTTTCTAAAAAGGCTTTTCTTCATAATAATAACCAAAATCAAGTGCAGACCAGATATAGAATCAAAACATTATCATTATAATAAAAAATCATGAACATAAAGAAGTGAAAGTTGAATTCTTATTAAATTTTCGCTTTTTAGATTACATCACAACAAACTTTCCATGTTTCCATTTACACTGCCTGAAAAAAAGTCTAGTCGTCGATCCTAGTTGTGAGAGCAACGAATAATAACATGATTTCTAGTTGATCATTTGGAAAAGTGGCAGAAGGTCGATTTTTCCCGTGAATCATCTGTTGAACTGTATCCCAATTATCACCTATACTGCAAAAGACCTACTGGAACCCGCATGGACTCAAGATTCTCACAGATATCAGTCAAGTTTGGTGAAGGAAAGATCATGGTATATATATATATATATATATATATATATATATATATACACATAAATACATACATACATGCATACATGGATTTTTTTTTTTCTTCTTTTTAACATAATTTCCAAATGATGTTTAACAGAGCAAGGACATTTTCACAGTGTGTCTGATAATATTTATTTCTTCATTTCTTCTGGAGAAAGTCTGATTTGTTTTGTTTCGGCTAAAATAAAAGCAGTTTTAAATTTTTTAAACACCATTTTAGGGACAAAATTATCAGCCCCTTTAAGCTATATTTTTTTCTCGATAGTCTACAGAACAAACCATCATTATACAATAACTTGCCTAATTACTCTAACCTGCCTAGTTAACCTAATTAACCTAGTTAAGCCTTTAACTGTCACTTTAAGCTGTATAGAAGTGTCTTGAAAATTATCTAGTAAAATATTATTTACTGTCATCATTGCAAAGATAAAATAAATCAGTTATTAGAAATGAGTTATTATAACTATTATGTTTAGAAATGTGTTGAAAAAAATCTTCTCTGCGTTAAACAGAAATTGGGGTAAAAATAGACAAAAGGTCTAATAATTCAGGGGGGCTAAAAATTCTGACTTCAACTGTAT